TGTAGCATTGTCCTCTGGTTTGATCCACGTCTCTGTCAGGGCCATGAGGTTTAGTCTTGAATGACTTGTAATAGAAGTAATAACATCTGTTTTGTTTACAGCAGACTGGCAATTCCAGAGACCAATAGAAAAAGAAAGTAGTGTGTTAGTAGACATAGGCAAAGTGCGCAGGTTGTTAGGATTGCGCTGCCTACAGTGTGTAATGCATGGTTTGCGAGTGGTAGTGATAGTAGAGATCTGAAAACACATAGTAAGAATTGGTTATAAAAACTGAAAACAGAAGGGGAACAAGTAGTAGGAAAGAGAATGATTCAGAAGCGATACTTATGTGCCTTGCCGGTGTCCCTGCTCGGTGGAGTCGAACGGTAGAGTCAATGGTCTTTACACTCTTCAGTCTTCACATGAGGAGAGCTTCACACGAGGAGAGCTTAACACGAGAGCTGCCGCGGTATACTAAGCTTTTTATATTCCCTAAACACTGAGACAAGAAATAAATACACTTACAAGCTGCTTTTAACTTCTGCTGATTGACTGCTTCTCACAAAGAGTATTTCTTTACACTGTTTTGCTGGCACTTGAACACACTTTCCTGTTTATCACAACAAATGGCCAAGCAAAGCGCACGACACTGACAAGGTACGCGATACAGTACGAGACCAAAAGCGATTTCAGGTGTAAAAATAATATATCCATAATAATAATAATCCATAATATATACAAGTAGTTCATTAATAGTTTATAAGTTGTTGTTAATACAATAATAGACTATATACAAACAGTGAGTTCTTCATTGATAAGTTAATATGTTAAGAAAGCATATGCAGTTATTTACATATGAGCTAGTTAAACAATAACACTTTAATTACAGTAAAAATTAATAATTAACTATTTGTATATAGCCTATTAATGTATTAAGTACACTTGATAAACTATTAATGAACTATAAACCAATAGTTTTGAAATTATTTATAAGTGCTTTATTATTGTATACATATTGTAGTTCTACCAATAAAGAGTAAATACACTGTTTTTAATACAAATATGCTCTCCACATTATAAACTATACAAACTGTCTGATAAATTCACAATCTGACTGTTTGTTTTGTTCACTTCATAGGCTATGTGGATGTAATCTCACTGCTCAGTACTGTGAAAGTTTGTCTTCAGCTCTACAATCCTCACACTCTGTCCTGAGAGAGCTGGACCTGAGTAACAATCACCTGCAGGGTTCTGGAGTGAAGCTTCTTTCTGATGGACTGAAGAGTCCAAACTCTAAGCTGGAGATACTGAGGTTTAAGTTCAAATACTTGATAATTTTTTTTGCATTAAGTTAATTACTAACAATCACACTGCTAAGATTTATTCTGTATGCAATTACTGGTTTTCTTGTTCAGATTTTCCACATGTAATCTCGCTGCTCAGTCTTGTCAGAGTTTGTCATCAGTTTTACAATCATCAAGCACCTGTCTGAGAGAGCTGGACCTGAGTAACAATGACCTGAAGGATTCTGCAGTGAAGCTGCTTGCTGATGGACTGAAAAGTCCAAACTCTAAGCTGGAGATTCTGAGGTTTGAGTTTCAAATACTTGAAATTTTTTTTTTGCATTAAATTAATTAATAAAAATCACACTGCTAAGATTTATTCTGTATGCAATTACTGTTTTTCTTGTTCAGATTTTCCATCTGTAATCTCACTGCTCAGTCTTGTGAGAGTTTGTCATCAGTTTTACAATCCTCAAACTCTGTCCTGAGAGAGCTGGACCTGAGTAACAATGTCCTGAAGGATTCTGGAGTGAAGCTGCTTGCTGATGGACTGAAGAGTACAAACTGTCAGCTGGAGATACTAAGGTAAATAGTTTTCCATAAAATAATTAACAAAATGTTACCAAAATAAATGGCCATTGAATTTTGTCAACAAATGTTGCTGCTCTCAATGGAATTCCAGAACAAGAGACAAAAACTAAATTTGCAGGCATTTTTTAACATTTATATGGATGTCCTCTTCAGCGCATTGCTCGGTCATCTTTAAGATTAAATAAACAGATTTTAAGTGCATAAACAAGCCAATTACACATATTCAGAAAGGGTCAGAAATCTGTCTCTGCGAATATTACATATTTGACCTAACTGACAAGCACAGAATGACAGTGTAACAAAGTTCGTAGTTCGGGGAAGAACATATAAACACAAAAATTTAATAAACAAATGAATGAACACAAAACGAAAGTAAAAGCGGCAGCCCCTCACGGACAACTGCCGCATAAAACATAATAAAACAACAACATAAAATCCAGGCCTGGTCCTCTCTCGTCTTGCACTGTCGTCACTCCTCCTTTTATCTTTCCGGAGCTCCTCCGTGGGACTCGAGACCGGTGAGTGGTGCAGGTGTCGCTCATTCAGGACTTAAAGTTCTCCGGCACCGTACCGGATCTCAGGCGTGTAGCGTTTGGCTGCGGGAAAAAAAAGATAGTCGTCCTACATTTACAAACACTTGTTGATATCACGTTCGAGTTCATGGGTTCGCCTGCCAATGTATGAGAGGAACACAGCTTTCACTCTCAACCAAACTAACATTATAAGAGCAAAAACTTATGATTGGCTAGTAAACACGAGACTCGCATAATAGTATCCAATTGCAGAGTCGCAGCTGATGAATGGAAAAGAAACCTGGGTCTCGAGTGTGATACTTTGAAAAAGCTGTGAAGCGCAATGTTCAAATATTTCCATCTAGCTGTCATCTGCTGGTGTTGGTCCACTGTGTTTTCTGAAGTCCACAGTCAACGCAGCCATCTACCAGGAAATTTTAGAGCACTTCATGCTTCCTTCTGCTTCATGGAGATGCTGATTTCATTTTCCAGCAGGACTTGGCACCTGTCCACACTGCCAAAGGTACCAAAAGCTGGTTCAATGACCATGGTGTTGGTGTGCTTGATTGGACAGCAAACTCGTCTGACCTGAACCCCATACAGAATCTATGGGGTATTTTCAAGAGGAAAATGAGAAACAAGACCCAATAATGTAGATGACCTGAAAGCCGCTATCAAAGCAACCTGGGCTTCCATACCACCTCAGCAGTGCCACAGGCTGATCGCCTCCATGCCACGCCGCATTGATGCAGTAATTCATGCAAAAGGAGCCCCTACCAAGTA